TCCCAGCCCTGACATTCTGAGTTCCAAGAGCCCTTCCAGCTCTGATGTTCTCTGGGACTATAAGTCCAGAAGCATCTCTCCCCATGCTCCTACAGTGGGGAGTGAGGCTTGCCAGGGGGACAGCTGGCAGCGAGCTGGGTTGAGCAGCACTGCCCCTCCTAATGGCCACCATATTCCAAGGATGGCTAGGGCCAGATTTCCCAAGTCATGGACTCTGTGGGGCTGAGCATAACCCAGCAGGCCTAGCTCAGGGCAATGGCTTAGAAACACCCCTCTCCCCTGCTAGCTGACTGTACCCCCAGATCTGGAGGGTACCACACAGGGACTCCCTGTAGAAGCCAAGCTGAGAACAACACATCTGACAGGGAGCAATGAACCAGAAGGCGTGAGACCTCACCCCCACATGAACTTTCTGCTTCTCCTTCAGCAAATCAATTCCCCTCCAGGGACCCCAGCTACGAGAGACACCATGCGGCCTGCCTGGTTCCCTAGAGGCAGCTGGTAGCCGGGGATACTTCTTGAGCACATGCAGCGTCAGACCAGCACTTTGGGAATCACACACGCTAACTAGTCAGAGAAGTGCCCGGAGAGACTGGAGACAGGGAGACCTCCAGTGGGAATTTAGTTAGGAGGCTATGACAGAATTCCAGGTGAGGGTTATGAGAACCTGACCTTGGGCAGAGGACGAGTGAGTGATGAAAAGGGATACACCTGGAGAATGGAAGGCCCTTAAGATGCCACTTTCTCCTTTTGAGACCACGTCCCCTCACTTCCCTGGGCCCTTCCATCCTCATCTGTAGAAAGAGGGGTTTGGACAACATGGCCCAGCTTCAGAACATCTGTCCTAGAGAAAGCAAAATCCTCGAGGTCAAGGACTGTCTGATCTTTGTCCTTGCGTCCCCAGTGTCTTCACGGTGCCTGGATGGTTAATAAATGCTCATTGATGTATGATTCAGGAATGCCAACATCTGTTCTCTTCCCCCATTTTGCCACCCCTTTCTAGTTTCATCAGAATGCGCTCTTGGGATGAGCTGGTTTATTTGGGTCTCGTGCCAAATTCAGCAAACTCATTTTCCCTCCATTATTCATTCCTTGTCCTCTACTCCTATGAAAGGTTTTGAAAGGGAGTTTATTTTCTGAACCTGCATTGCTCTTGGTTGCTATGTCTCTACACTGGGCGAGAAGAGCACATATTTGTTGACCGAAGAAGGTCTTGTTTTACTCGATTTTGATTTTTGGTTTCTGGATGCTTTGGGTGCCCTCTCTGCAGTACTTATGTTACTGCAGTTGAAATTCTATAGGAAATGAGAATAATCAGAGTTGGTATCTTGTCCTCTATCCATTTCCAGATTTTTTTTGGCATGTCAAGTCAACAAGCTTTTATTAAGTACTTACTATTTACCAGGCACTGTATTAAGCACTGGGAATATATATATATATATATATATATATATACACACACACACACACATATATATATATACATATATGTGTGTGTGTATATATATATATGTATATGTATATATATATATATGAAGAAAGACAGCCAGTCCCCTCAAGGAGCTTACCTTCTAATGGAGGAAGACAGCAACACAGAGATGAAAGGGGACAGAATGAGAAGAAAAGCTCGACCCAGAGGACATGGTAGAGAAGGTCCAGGAAGTCAGGAGTGGAGCCTGGAGAGAAATGAAGGCCTGGCTGCTCTGCACATTTTCCTTAAAATGGAGATTCTGGGAGGAACCAACCAATTAGAAGAAGGGGCCGAGAGTACTTCTGGTGTGAGGAATCCAGGGACAAAGTGAATTTCCAGGGTGAGGATGCTTCTGTGTCATGGTAGAAAAAGTCTTTGGGTAGCTAGGTAGTGCAATGGATAGAGTGCTGAGCCTGAAGTCGGAAAGACCTGAATTCAAATCTGGCCTCAGACACTTACTAGCTCAGTGACCCTGGGCAAATCACTTAATCCTGTTTGCCTCAGTTTCCTCAACTGTAAAATGAGCTGGAGAAGGAAATGGCAAACCGCTCCAGTATCTCTGCCAAGAAAACCCCAAATGAGGTCACAGAGACTGAAATGACTGAACAACAGAGAAAGTCTGGAAAGTCAGGAAAAGAGCCTGGAGAAAATGAAGACCAATGAACTTGCCTGAATAGGTGGGGTTGAAGTTACGAAAGGCAGCTAGTGGTGCAGTGAATAGGGCCCTGGACCTGGAGTCAGGAAAGCCTGAATTCAAGTCCTACCTCAGATACTGACTAGCTGTGTGACCTAGAGCAAGTCATTTAACCGTTGTCTGCCTCAGTTTCATCATCTGTAAAATGGGAATAATAATAGACCCTCCCTCACACAGCTGTTGTTAGGTTCAAATGGGATAATATTTGAAAAAAAATCACTCAGCACAGTCCCTGGCACTTAGTAGGAACTATAGAAATGAGCATTCCCTTCCCCCTTTCCTATTGTAATTACACAGCATACCTCTTCTCCTTCATCTAATTCCATGTTGACTCTGTCTTTCTCCTGCCAATCCAATGGTCTGACTGCACACGCAGACAGCTGCCTGGGACATGCCTCCCACATCGGCAGCTAAACATTTCTTTTCTGTTAGAATAAAGTCAATTTTCTTTTCTGTGATGTTATTCAGGGAAGAAAATTTTCTTCTTCTTCAGGCCTAAGGATCCTAAATGTCCTTTCATTCTTTAACCCTCAACCAAATTTTCTCCTTCCTTCCTTTTGCCCTGACCACCCCCACCCACCGCACAATGAAATCCTGAAGGTTTAAGGCGTATATTGACTTGGCTTGGAGCGTCCTGTTGGGTTCTTTGTCGAACGTGTCTATTTTCTCATCCTTCATAGCAGATGTTGGCGTGGAAACCGCAGTTACTTTCATGGTGGTCTTTCTTGCTTATTCTCGTCCCGAGCTCTGCAATATGAGATGACCAAATGTCCCATGAAATGATGTTTCTTGTTGCCTTTGGAAGCACAATAAAACCAATTCCTCCAATGGTTCCATTGGCCTCTCCAGTGAGAACCTAAAAGGCCTACTTCCTCCCCAGCTGAAACTTCTGCCTTTGGTCTTCATTTGTTTGTGAGAGTGCCAAGGGTGGCAGGATGTGGGTCCTCAAGCAGTTTGGCCACAAAATGTGGCCACTCATCCATCGAGGCGGCAGCTAATTTCATCTGAATAAACTTAGTAAAGCCTGTGTGATTCTGAGCGCCTCCTGCCCACCTGCCCCAACAATCTGCCATTGTCCCAGTGGGAGCAGGATAGAGGGACATTTATATTGTTTTCTGTCTCACGGATTGCCAAGGACAAAGAATTCATGCTCAATCAGCCTGTGATGAGGCTCTCTCCTTAGCTAGACAGGGTATAATCTGGGGCCAGTACCTACCTCCCTGGGAATCTTGCCAGTAGGGTGGGACGTGCCAGAGCTGGCAAGCTGTGTGCTCAGACTCCAAGAGCCCAGGGTCACATCCTGGCCAGGCTGAGGTGTCAGGGGAGGAAGTGAGGGGAGCAGTAAAATAATAATTACTATAATTTAAAAATAGATGAGCCCTTGTGGTTGATAGAAAAAAAAACAGCCTTACATAGGATAGTAATAGGTCTAAGATTATGGGTTTAATCCACTGAGGTATATAGATTTAATTTCCCTCCCCATCTCAGAGTAAGCCCTGAGTCTGACTCCAAGAGCCTTCAAAGCAGTTGCAGACTGAGTCCTGGGGCTGGTGACAGACTGACCTCTGACCCTGGCTTCAGGCTCAGTTTTCACTCTGGACCCAGACTCGGTGCTTATCTTGGACTCACATTTACCCCCTGAACCTGGGCCCAGACTGAGCCCTAAGCCTACGACTGAATCTGAAGCCAGTCCCAAAGTGAGTCCCCGACTGAGCACTGGCCCCGTCCTGGCCTTCCTGTGGTCTCTGCCCATGGCCCCTCTCATGGGTCCCCTTTACCAAACCCTTTCTAAGTCATGGATTTGGCTGTGCTGTAAGTGAGGCGATCAGGGAACCATCTGTCACCACCTGCTCTGAGCTGTGGGCTGGGCTAACTGGTTAACAGTATGCAGGAGCCACTGATGACTGTATCAGCCTTTCTCCTCCAGGCACTGCTGAGATATCAGGGCCCTTTTAGGGAAGAGGCGGAAGGCCTGGATTCTCTGTTGTCCATCAGACAAGGCACCCAGACCTGGGGGCCGTATGGCCCTCAGTGGGACAGGATTGCTGAAACTCTGCCCAGGGCTCAGCTCAATCTGGTCTGACTCCCTACCCCTGTGAGGGCTGGCTCTTGTCCTGTGAGGCAGAACCCACATGCAGAGTGAAGATGAACGGCAAACCCACTGTCCGTCCGTTTAAACCTGGCATTCAAGGCTCTCCGGTCTGGGCCCAACCTTCCTTTTCATCCAGCTGTGCTAGAGTCTTCCTTGGTGTCTGCCAACGACATCCTTATCCCCCAACTTGGAAGCTTCATCTGCACCGTTCCCTCGTCCTAGAATATCCTCTCCCCTTATCCGACCATAGCTGCCAAGACTGAAATTGGACTCATCCTTCAAGGCTCAGCTCAGATGCCCTCTCCTCTGGGAACTCTTCCCTTTCTTCCCCTGGCTCAAAGTTTTTCCTCTTGCAGCACTTTGCCTGAGAAGCTTCTGGGTCATTTAGTGTGTGCTGAGAAATGATGGCATTTTTATCATGCTCGAGTCTTACCTCCCTGAGTAGGCAGTGAGATGCTTGATGGCTACAGATATGCAGGAGACCTAGGATCAAAGGTCAGACAGATCAGGCCCAGGACTCAGTGGGTAGATGACATCAGAGCTCATTTATTTATTCCCCATGGTTCTCAGAGACCAGTTCCTGGTCTTGATAGCCCCTCCCCCCTTGCCCTCTGTTAACCCCTGGTTTCACAGGTGGAACTGACCCAATGTTGGCTCTTTTCAGTTCCAGCCCCCGGAGTTCCCAGCCCCCTTCTCCGGATCCTGTAGTGACCCTGGCTCCCACGATGTCACTCATGGAGCAGAGCCCATCCTCCTCACTGGCCTCCACGCCTCCTGGGCCAGGGGACGAGGAGGAGGAAGATGATGACCTTCTGTCACCCCATCTCCTGCTCTCCGACAGCCTTAGTCAGCTGGAAGAGTTTGGGCGACAGAAGAAATGGCGGCGGAAGCATCACAAACAGCACCGGCCGCGGCAATTCAACGACCTGTGGGTCCGGATCGAAGACAGGTGAGTGCCAGAGACTGACTCATGGTACCACTAATGGGTGTGGCCCTGCTGACAGCAGGCGCTTCTAAGACCTCAAGGACATGTGTATAGATTAATAGAACCTCCACCCCTCCCCCATTTTACAGATGAGGAAACTGAGGCCCAGAGAAGTAACATGGTTTAGAAGAGGAATGCAAACCCTGATGGTCTGATGTCCAATCCAATGCTCTGGTCTTTCCCGCCAGACCATATGGACCTAAATAGAGTATGTGAAAATACACACACACACACACACACACACACACTGCTGCCTGGTGTAGCCCTAACACTGAAACTTGAATCCTCATAATTCCCTAGTCGGCCATTCACACGTGAGGCTGCCGGGAATGTCAGAACCCCAGCCTCACACTCTCTATGGCCATCGGGTCCTTGAACATCCCAAACCGTCTCCCACCTTCGTTTCTTTGCACAGGCTGTCCCCCACGCCTGGAATGCCCCCTTCTCCTCTGCCTCCCTCAAGCTTCAGCTCAGATGCTCTCTTCCACAGGACGCCATTCCTGACCCTACAGCTTGTCCATGTTCTCTTCCTCTTCAAATGATCTTGGATCTACTAATCTCTTGGAAATGACTCTCTCCCCCCACTGACCCTGCCTCCACCCCCAGGAGACTGTAAGCTCCCTGAGGGCAGGGATAATATTTCATTTTTACTTCTACATTCCCAACTCATTGCACTGAATTCAGTCTTCTCTAAGCACCTAATTATAAAAACAGGAAAAACTGAGGTTCAAAAATGATTCTGATAAAATCCCAGGTGATTTAGATCTGAAACTCATACCTATTGATTCATAGTCCAGAGCCCTTTCCTCTGGATCACACTTTCTCTAGAATGTGCTTCAGGAAATAGTTTCCAAAATAAATAAATAGATAAATGGAAGGAAGAAAGGGGGAGAGAGAAACAGAGACAAAGAGAGAGAGAAAAGGAGGGAAAAAAGGAGAAAGAGAGAAAAAGAGAAGGGGGGAAGGAAGGTAGAAAGGAAGAAGGGAAAGAGAGAGAGAGAAAGAAGAGCAGAAAGAAGAAGGGAAGGAGAGAGGAAAGAAAGGAAGG